CCCTGTGATGACGTCAGCTACGCGGTTTCGTCGAGCGCGCTTTAGTCGAACGCGGTTTTGTGGTGGAACCCGGGGGGGGGGACATTTTAGCAAGGGATTCTCTGCCTGGTTGCTGGGTAGCCTTGGGCATAGTGGGCCTGGCCTAATCGGCCTCCTGCAACATGGCGGGGCCGGCGTTTTTCTCTCCCCAGCCTCCAGAGGTTTTCCTTGAGCCTCCGGGAGGGCAAGAATGCCTTCCCCAGGCTCTGGGGGCCCTCTGGAGGCTGGAAACAGACTCATTTCCAGCCTCCCCGAACTTCCAGTAGGCCCGTTTTTTGTCCTTGCACTTACCTGCATGCAAAACAGGCCGCGTAGGGACTCCTGGGAGGGACGGAGAGGGGAGGGCAGGGTCAGCCAGGAGTGAGATTTGGGGATCCTCCAAACTGTACAGAATCTTAGCTAGAGGTTCTCCCAAACCCTTGCGAACCCCCAGCAGCCCATCCCTGGCACTCATTCTGGAAAGTAACACAACTAATTGAAAGAAGGAATGAGAGTTTAGCACCATCCATTAGCATTGTCTTCTTTTTCCTTACAGGAAGCTTGATGCCCTCCAGATGTTTTGGAAGAAAAGCTCCCATTGTTTCCCAAACTTGTGCCCTTCAGATTTGTTGGATGGCAATACAGGAGATTTATAGGATCAATTTATTTGGGGGCAGTCGCGTTTAGGAACTCATGTCTTCAGGACCCATAGATTTTGTTCTCAGTCACTGTGCCAAGACAGTGGTGCATGTTTTCAGGCACATATCATCTCAAAGCACTTTCCCAGGTACTCAGAGACAACTCACTCCCTACAGCACCACCAATCTTTAGAAGCGCAATATCCCAGCATTTGTAGACTCATAGAAGAGGAAAAACCCATTCAAGACTGGGAATTTAATTCTATAACCTCGGAGACGACTGGGAATAATAATAACTTTAGCCCAATGCCTAGATCAGAACACTGGAAATGCCATTTAAACCACTGAGCTCCATCTATCAAGCTTAATAACAGGTTCCATTAGAAAAGCATTCTGACAATGAGGAAATTATTTCTAATATTCAGCAAGAAAAATGGCTTCCTAAAAACCACTGTTCCGTATCTTTTGCTTGGGGATAATAATGAACAGATTACATAGCCTTCCTCCTGGAGACACAGCTCCAAATATTTGAAAAATGCGATTCTGTGCGTAATGCAATGTTTCAGTGTCACACAGGGCTTAAAAACCTAAGGCTGCCTTGGATGCATTCACAGGAACATAGATCATAAAATGTAATGTTTCCAATTCCACCCTCCCTTGGTCAGACCCAATGAAATCCTGTATCCAACTCTGGGCAGCTTCCAATCTGATATAGTTTGAAGCAAACTGAAGCAAGTTTTGCAAGACTTTACAACGGTGAAAAGTCTGGAAACTAAGTTCTATTAGGTAAAGGTAAATGTTCTCCTCTCACATATGTGCTAGTCACTCCCAACTCTAGGGGGCAGTGCTCATCTTCGTTTCAAAGCTGAAGAGCGAGTGCTGTCAAAAGACATCTCCGTGGTCATGTGGCCAGCATGACTAAATGCCAAAGGTGCACAGAACACTGTTACCTTCCCACCAAAGGTGGTCCCTAATTGTCTACTTGCATTGTTATCTGCTTTCGAACTGCTAGGTTGGCAGAAGCTGGGACAAGTAATGGGTGCTCACTCCGTTACATGGTGCTAGGGGATTCAAACCGCCAAACTGCTGACCTTTCTGATCGACAAGCTCAGTATCTTAGCCACCACGTCCCTTAAGTTTTATTAAGAAGTGGTTAAAGGATCTGAGAGTGTTTAGCCTGCAGGAGTTGAGATAGAATAGAGCTTTCAAATATCTGAAAGGTTGTTAGAGAAGAGGGACAAAATTTATTCCCTATTGCTCCAGGCTACAAGTTGCAAATACAAGGAAGTAAATTTAGGCTAGACATCAAGAAAAAAATCACGTTTCTATGAGTTGTCAACCTGAGGAACAGGCTATACATGAAGTCAAGAGTTCTTTGCACAAGGTCTTGATACAGAGGCCAATCAATCTCTCAGACTCTTAGAAGGGCTTCAGCAGATTTGCACTGAACAGGAGTTTGGCTTAAGGGTCTCTAAGGCCCTTTCAATTCTATTGTTATATAATATGTTCCCTCAGTCATATTTTCTTAAGGCTAAACATTCATGGTTCCCTCATTTTTTTCCTCCTAGGAACTATTCTAGTTGGAATCATCAGAATGTGATGTCCAAAGCTGAAACAATATTTGGGAAGGATTCCAAAGAATGCAGAATATTTTGGAAGTATGGCTAATAATCATCATGGCAGTTTTGATACAGGTGGAAGACAATCTGTATTAAAATTACAATAAAAGGAAAGGTAGGAAACAGAGGTTTTTTTTTAAATGCCGTAACAAACTCTCCTACAATTGATTTAAAAAAAAACCTTACATTTAACTGGTTGCTTTACACCAAAGCTTCTGCTGCTAAGGTTCTGGTAATCTCTGTGCTTTCAAACAATCTCAGCCTCAATCTCTCTCTCTTTCTCAGACCTAG